CGATTCCTGGGGCCAGCAAGGATATTGGCCATGGAGACAAGACGCTCCGAGGCAGGCGAATCAAGGCCGGCTCACGCCATCTGGGTGGTCAGAGGCCGACACTTATTAAAGTGTAGTCCGGAACAACTGCGACCTGCCAGCCAGAGGGAGGAACTGGTAGAGTCATTGGCCACCAGTGACCAGACCCCCTGGACTTACACGAGATTGGCTGAGGAGATTGGAGGTAGCCAGTACGAGGACATCAGCGCCGAGGTTCCCTCCACAGACGAGTGGAGGCGGGCCCAAGATGTTCAGTCCGAAGTGCCTCCTGTCAGGAGTCGCATCAGAGGCAAGCGGGCAGCACCAGAGGAGCCAGAAGATTGGGATCTCGAGGATCCTAACAACCGAGAGCCCAGTCAGCCGAGCAACTTGCGACGAGTGGGACGACTTCCAGGTCCGCGAGTAGAAGGCCAGGCGCAAGTGGCATGGCAAGAGTCAGTAAGCGAACAAGCGTGGTCCGCGGAGGAAACTTGTTTTAGGGCAAACGAGGAAGCGGCCGTGGCCATCGAAGTGGAGATGCCCCAGAGCAACAGAGGCTGGGACAAATTCTTTCAGAATCCAGAGGCCTACTTCACGGGAGCCCTTCGACGACGAGCGGTTGAGGTAAGCGAACGGCGCCTGTCGGCTGAAGACCGAGCCAAGTTCAAAGAAGCAAAAGCTAAAGAAGTCCGCAACTTCATCGCCGCCCGCGCGTTCGAGGCCTTACCGGAGCACATGAAGCCATCCCGAGACCAAGCAATCGGCATGAGGTGGCTTCTCACCTGGAAGCCGCAGGACACCGGCGAGGTGAAGGCAAAGGCCAGAGCGATATTATTAGGTTACCAGGATCCTAACTACGAATTCCGATCAACTACAGCTCCAGTAATGAGCAGGCAGACCCGCCAGCTATTTCTGCAAGCTGCTGCCAACCGCCAATGGCGGATCCAGAAGGGAGATATCACGGGGGCTTTCTTGCAAGGTCGGGAATATCCGAGTGAGTTGTTTTGCGTGCCGTGCGACGAAATCCTTGAGAGCATGAACCTCCCTCCGGGATCCATAGTGAGGCTCAAGAGAGCCTGCTATGGATTAGTCGACGCACCATTGGAGTGGTATCGGACGGTAGCTGAGTTTCTGGAGTCGATCGGATTGACAAGGCTTTGGAGTGATGCCTGTGCTTGGGTTTGGAGGCCTCAAGGGGTTCTGCGTGGGATGGTGACGGGACACGTTGATGATTTCTTGTTCGGTGGTGCCGAGGATGATTCTGGATGGCAGGAAATCATTCGGTTGATTAAAGAGCGTTTTAAGTGGGGTGACTGGGATCAAGATAGATTTGTGCAGTGCGGGGTGTTGATTGAAACCACAAGTGAAGGGTTTACCTTGTCCCAGCCCACCTACCTGTCCAATCTGGAGGAGATTCACATCAATGCCCAACGCCGCAAAGACAGGAGTGCGGAAACAACCGACTGGGAGAAGACCCAGCTGAGAGCCCTCTTGGGGGGTTTGAGCTGGTACGCCCAGCAGACAGGACCGCATCTTGCAGCAGAGGTGAGTTTGATGTTGTCTGAGGTTTCTAAGTCCCGCGTGGAAACCATCATCCAGGCTAATCTGTTTCTTCAGCATGCCAAGAATCGGAAGGATCACAAACTTCAGATTTTCAAACAACGCGATGAAGACATGCAGTTCTATGCGTGGGTAGATGCCGCTAACAAGAACAGAGTAGATGATGGAAGCACTCAGGGAATCTTTATAGGAGCCGCCTCACGACAGCTGATGCAGGGATCTGTGTGCCACATAAGCCCCATGTCTTGGACGTCTACTAAAATTGATCGCAGTTGCCGAAGTCCGGGCTCAGCAGAAACGCAAGCAGCGGTTAATGGTGAGGACGCCTTGTACTTCATGCGCTACCAGTGGTCGGAGATGCAGTACGGCAAGGTCAATCTGAGAGCGCCCTCAGACGCTGTCAGGCAGACGGATGGCTGCTTGATAACAGATTCCCGGAACGTGTACGACAAGCTGTCAACAGAAGTGTTGACAATCCAGGGAGCCGAGAAGAAGTCGAACCTGGAGTTGTTGAGCGTCAAAGAATCACAGATGTCAACAAATCTGAAAGTCAGATGGGTACACTCAGAGGCCCAGTTGGCCAATGCACTGACTAAGAAAGGCGGCAAGGAGTTGGAGCTCTTCTACAAGATGCGTGGCATGTGGCGCATAGTGGAAGATCCTGCTATGCGGTCAGCTCGGAAAAGACGACAAGAAGGACTACAGCCCTTCGAACAGACTCAAATGCAGAATCTGTGTGATAATACTACTCCTGAAATCCAGGGGAGCGGGGGGCATGCAAGTGATTGAATCACTTGTGTGCTTCTCGACGCAGGTCTGGACTGCGAAGCTTTGGATCACAGGCAGGGGTTGCCCGTGTAGGAAAAGAGCCGCTTTGCACCGATCATTCCGTGCCTCCAAGCTCTTCCTGCGGAACTCTTGAAGACGATCCTGATTGAGCATTGAAGCTGCCTGCACCCCATAGAGGCGTGCATGGTAGCGGAGCCTCACCAGAGGCTGCCGAGCTTGTGAAGATCCAGGGACCTACTACAGCTGGACGCTACGCCTTCAGCTGGGAACATGACCTCCAATGGGGAGGGCAGCAAGGCTCATGAAGGGCCACCGAGCTGGGATGGGGATGCCAGCACGTTTCAAGAGTACGAAGAGAGCAGTCTGCTATGGGAACAATCTGTGGCTTACGAGAAAAGATACTTGTGTGGTCCGAAGTTAGCAGCGGCACTTAAGGGTGCCGCCAAACGACTGGTGGCTGGGAAGACACCCAGCTGGTTGTCACACAACAAGGGTGTGACCACCCTCATGCAGCACCTCCGGACTGCACTCGGTAAGCCACAAGTATCCGATCTAACAGAGCACTTGAGCAAGTTCTTCAAAGGATCCAGAAGACGCAACAACGAGGATATCAACAGCTACATCGCTCGCAAGAGCGAGATCTATTTGAGGGCTTGCCAGGCTCTACAGAGGGTGAACCCCTTGCAGACACAGCGGACTCCAGGATCCCAGGAGGGATCCACGACCTCGTGGACGCCGACGTGGAACTCAAGCCGGAGAAGCAGCTACGACCACGGTCAAGCCGAGGAGGACGCAGATGATGCAGGCGACGCCGGAGTAACGGCGTCAACAACCGCGACCGAGGAGACCTCGAGGAATGCATGGAACAGCTACCAGTGGAACTACGGGTACTACAGCTGGAACAACCCGTGGTGGAGCTCCTCCTGGGGCCGATATGGCACCTGGGACAATGAGTCCTGGGAAAAGCCGGTCCCAGTACCGGAACTGCTACCCGACTATGTTCAAGGCTGGTACCTTCTCCATGATTCGGGGCTCACGGCGCAGGAAAAGAACGTGGTGCAGACAGCGCTGCAGGGCGACTTCTCGAGTACACGGGTCGCTCAGGAGTTGCGCAATCAATGCGCAGTCCTTGACGGCCAACGCCGCGACTACGTGAACAAGAACAGCGGCTACCTCGGCGAGTACTACGGCGACGAGGACTACGATGACGAGGTGCCGGTCGAGGAGGCTGACCCGATTCTCGAGGCCGAGCACCAGGAGGAATGGGACGAGGCCGAGCAGGATGTCCAGTCGGCCATGGCAACCATACAGCATGCAAGAAGGACCTTGAAAGAAGCTCGCCAGAAGCAGAACAACGTGAAACTGGCGAGACAGTACTTCAGGACAAACTCCGGGGCGAACAACCGGGACTACAACAAGAACAAGGATGAGAAGATGGTTTGCCTCCGGTGCGGGCGCACCGGACACCGGGTGGCAAACTGCCCCGACCCACCGACGGCCTCAGCCAAAAGCGCAGAGGTTACAGCGACGACATCCTTCGTGTGCTTCAGTGATGAGGCCCAGGCCATGATGATCAGGAGCACGGACACCGATCCTCAGCAGGCAATGGCGGCTTGCATAAGCACGGCGGACGCTGTGGACCAAGGCAAAGCCGTCATTGACGGCGGGGCCACCAAAACCTTGGCGTCTGTGGCGGCAATGGAAAGGATCATGCACTTGAACAACCTCAAGAAGGGCGACACCGGCCTGGTCTCCATCGACCTCTCTGAGAGGCCAGTTTTTGGATTCGGCAACGGATCCGAGGATAGATGCAGTTCAACTGTAAAGCTTCGGATCGACGCTGCTAGCAAACCCGGGGAGGTCAAGGTGCATTGCCTGGACAAGGGCAATGGACCAATGCTTTTGTCTATAGATACGCTGCGCAAGCTTAAGGCCATCATAGACTTTGAGTCTGATCTTATTTGCTTTCGGGCCTTGGACGATGGCAAGCTTGTGCAGGCCGAGCGTTCTCAGACGGGACACCAACTGATGCCGATGACAGAGGACTGGTTAGCCAAAGGCTTAACCACGTCAAAGCCAGTCCCGGGCCTGAGCAGTTTTGTTAACGCGTAGGGACAGCTCCTTCCTGCTACTAGTTCCGTGGAAGCAGTGAAGGTCCCAGAGTTAGCGGAACATGGGGTGAAAATCACTCTGCAGCAGACTTCTTTAAGTAGCGAGTCGGATTTCAGGAGTGATTGTAAAGGAATTCAGAGTAGTAATAGTGTTTATTCTGCACTTGAGTCTGAAGCCGCTGAGTCCATCGACAAGTCACAGACGAGCAGACGGAGATCAGTGACTTTCGCAGCCAGTTGTGCGCTCCAGGAAGGGATTGATAGCAGCCCCCACAACGAGCACCCGAGGGAGCAGCATGCCGAAGCCCACCAAGGAGGACATGCGCACGGACCTGGCGATGTTGGGCGAGGCGGCGCCAATGGGATGGACCAAGGTGGAACTTGGTCAACGACTTCGGGAACTTCGCGAACAGGGGATTGCAGATTCCGAGGCTCCTACGGCCCTCACCAGCATGGAGAAGATGCTCAAGGACCTACGGAAGGCGAGCAAGCTCAAAAGCACCCTCACCACCTTCTGTACCCAGGTCCTCCACCTCGAGCTCACGGGGAACGAGGTGATGTCCAAGATGATCGACAAGGCGACCAAGGAGATCCACCGGGTGTGCCCACCCGAAAGCCACGACTATGTCGGTTTTGGAAAACATGCGGACGAGCGCTATGTGACGATTGCGACCCAGTACCACGAGTACGCGAACTGGGTCAAGGTGACGTTTCGGGAGAATGGCGAGGAGCACGTGGACCCACGCCTGGCCCGCTTGGCCAAGTGGCTTATCGATCAGGAGCAGAAACCCGAGCCCAAGGTCAAAGCAGCGGTGCGGAAGGACAAGGGATACATGAAGATGCGAGTGCCCGACGACCGGAACCACAGCCCAGGCCGTCACAGCGGCAGCCGGTCGAGTACGGATCCTACACCGGCCCAGACGATGAGGATGATGACGCAGATGGCGGAGGCCCTGGAGTCCGTGCGCCAGGAGCTGGCCGAAGTGAAGGGCGAGAGACCGCGGAAGACCGCGGGACGAGCCGAGGAGGGGAGCGTGACGGACAGCTCCTTCAGCGTGCTGAGTGGCTCCCCACAGAAGGACCTCGACCTGTGAGCAGGCCTAGCACCGAGTTCTCGGAGGCATGTGCAGATATGAGTGCCTCCCAGCTCCTAAGTGCTCAATTGAAAAGTCAGAGCCTTAAGAGCCTTTCTTCGAACCAAGCCCGGGCCCTGGAGCGGCAAGCTTGGTCTGTGGTGCCAGACCTCTTTCAGTCTCTGGCAGGCTTCGCCAGGCCATGTGTAATGGAATGTACAAGTGAAGCCGACAATCTTCTGTCAAGCACTGTGCAAACGGTGGCAAAAAGCGATGATGCCGCGAGCCAGTGTGCCTTGTATAATGGTTGTGATTTGGCCAGCGACAGTGGGGTTCGTTTGATCATGAGCAGGATCGATGCTGAGAGTCCCCAACATGTCTGGTTGAGTCCTCCCGGAAGCGCCTACTCTCCTCTGCAAAACAGTAACCAAGCCTCTAAAGCTCAAACCGAAGCCCTCCGAGCCAAGCGTAGGGAAGCGTTGAAAGTGTTCGTAGGATGTGTTTGTGTAATGCACTACGCCATCCAGAAGGGGATACATGTCACTCTTGAGCTTGCAGATCGATCTGATGCTTGGCGACTGCCCGTGCTCAATCAGTTGCAAAGCAAATATGGGCTTCACAAAGCTGTTGCGAGTGGTTGTGCGGTCAATCTGAGGGATAAACAGTCTGGCCAGCTTATTCAGCGAGGGTGGCGAATCCTCACCACCCACAAACGACTGGCTGAAACCTTTGAAGCTCCTTGTAGATGCCCCAAGTCATACAACCATGGACGCTGCGTTGGCAAGAGAGGAACAGGTGACTCGCGCTACACACCAGAGCTGGCGCAACGTGTGGCTAGGGTTCTAGTTCAAGAAATGGGACACAACGAAACACTCAAGGAATGTCAGGGAACAAGCTACTTGTGCGAGGCTTTCGGATGTGGAGAGTTTTGCACGTGCGGAGAAGTGAGTTTGCCAAGTAATCCACGGACGTGTCCTTGCTGTTTGCTTGGGAGGGCTCACTTGGGTGTTGACGATTCCTTGAACAGTCCTGCTATCTTGGGAATTTCGGAAAAAGGGATGACGGGACCTTCGGACAGTGGATCAGGTAATCAAGGGTTGAAAGCTGAGGACATTCATGCTGAGGGAACTGGGGTGTTTGGATGTGAGGGCTCTGAGATTGGAGAAGCTGCGGATTTTAGTCAAGAAGCCATAAGCCAAGCGGAACAAGTTGCCCAACAGCTGTTACAGAAGCATGACTTTAACCACAAATCCTGCGAACAGCTCCTCCAAGCCCTTCCCTTTCAACAAAGGAAACCCGTCAGACAGGCCCATCAACAAGAAAAGCCCAGGTACTTGATTCTAGGAGTGTATGCTTATGGTAATCACTACGGC